CGCAATGGCGACGGGCGCACATGAATGCACAGAGCAGGCTCTGTGAGAACATTATTGGCTATCTGGTTTCTGGGCAACACGCTGCTCACTGCTCGCTGTCCCACTTACTCTCCGAGCGACATTTTGTGCTGAAAGGTGCCTCAAACACAAAACCGCACGGCAGAAACTCGAAGCCGCGTGACCCTGCAGCTTTGCATGATTTTTCAGGGCGACGCTTGGCGTCATGTAGAGAATGCGCAGCGCTTGTCATTTATCACGCTGTCGGTTTGACATATTCCGACATGCACGTTGATGACAAAGCATCTCCATGACGCATACGTTAAAGCTTAAATTAAATCGTCAAGCAATGCAACAGAGGCATTATTCAAGAGACGCTTCAATTTCATTTTCCACATAATAACCAAATGCATTTCTGCAATCTTGAGGCCATCACAGGCCTGCAGCGGGTCACACATAAGCGTCAAAATAAAAGCACCTTTATGCAGACAGCAGCAGCAGCAGCCGCCACCACCGCCGCCGCTGCAGCTTGGTATGATGATAAAAGGGGAATGTGAAACATCACACTTGGTCTATAAATACGTTGGCCGGCTCAGAGATGTTTCAGTTTCCTATAAAGCCACTGATGCATGGCGGGCTGACGCACACATGGTTCAAAGCCGTGGACACTTAGAAGCACAAGCGCTCCCATCCAACCAGTTTCACACTTCGCTCCGAAAATGCCTCTGGAACATGGCTTGTGAGAGTTAAATCGTGCGTGACCGTTTTAATTTGCCACATCAATGTGCCTCGCTTGACGCATTTGATACACGTAATTGTATCAGTCCACTTCCTGCAGAACAAAACCCGAAGGTTGTTTTATTTTTTTTTCTTTTCCCCCTCATTCTGTTTACTTTAGGGAGGTTGCAAAAATTCTCATTTTAATGGATCAAATGCGCCAAGACATATCATCAGTCTCAAGTAAAACTTCCGATCAAATTTCAGTCACACGTTGAGATACTTAAACATCAAAGTTCGTGAAGATGCTCTTTGAAAGTATGAAGAAAATACAAATAAATAAATAAATAAATAAATAAATAAATAAATAAAAAGGTTGTGAAAGTTTAGAACATTTCGGAAATGGTGTCTACTCATGACCAAATATGGAAGTCCTAAAGTGGCCAAACCGCATAAATTCACACTGAAAAAAAGTGATTTTAAAAAAAAAAAAAAAAAAACTTTTTGAAATTAGCTAACACCAGAAAATCTTTAAGGAAGGGTATAGCAAAACTTTTCTTTGTTTGTCTGACGTCTAGCTGTTTTAAAAAATCATTTCTGCCTATTACAAGTGCAGTCCAGTTTATTTTTACATGATAAAGTGTTCAAGAACATTAAGAGAAATGACAGACCAACAGTATATATATGTATAAAATTTGTGGAGGCAGCATCATGCTGTGGGGTCCAATATGGGACCAAACATTAGCAGGTCAGAACTGATGGACTGAGCTGAAGCACAGCCGGTAAAGAAAAGGTGAAAAAGACTGAATAAAAATTATAATCTGAAAGAAAACTTACAAAGGTGGCCCCTATCGCTATAGTAGCAGCTGGGATACAATGCTCAGTTCAGATATATTAAGATCATCTTACTTTTTAAAATAAATTCTGATTCTGGGAACATTTTTTCACCTGATGCTGACAAGGTTTTGAGTGCTTCAGTCTAACCTTTTCAGGGAAACGTTCACAGGGATGAAATGCGCTAACTTTTTAATGTAAACCGTAGCCTAATCAGCAACAAGTTAATAATTCTTGAACAACTGCTTGTGAACGCAACTTTAAATTATGAAATAGTGAATGCAACTTTACCACAATTACAGAATTGCCAGCTGGTGCAACTGTAAACCATGCTTGTGTGAAATCAAGTTCTAGCTGGGTGTTGGAAGCTGCAGAGTTCGCTGATATCTCAGGACGACCTGATCGCTTCAATCCCAGAGGTTTGTCTAAAGTAGTCCAGACCCATCTTATCACGTGAAAACTCACCGGACCTTCCAAAACGCTCAACATTTAGAATGATTTAGTTTGCTCAGAAATTGAGGCGCCAGCTCATCCTCTACATGTTCATGATTGATGCCGTTTTGAAAGTCTCTTGCATGTCTTGTCCTTTCTGTCTGCCTTTTAAAGCGGTCTGAGTTGTCTAAGTCAACATTCTTTGATTGGCGCCTCCTAAAGGACACCTTGCACACATTCCAGAACCTTTCTGTCTGAGCAAATGCATTCAACAGTTAATCTTTCAGCCTGAGATCTCAGTTCAGCGCAACAACAGAAAAAACTATTTCCGTCTGTGTGCCCTGAGAGCAGAATCTTGGCTCCAGGCCTTCAGTGACCTTTTATTGTGGAGGCCATGCAACATTTGGCTGAGGCACGAAGAGGTCAGAGTTTACAGTTCATTCGGAGCAGCTTTGTGATCCTGCAGTGAGGATAATCTGACAATATTGTGGAGTAAGAAAAAAACAAAATAAACAAAACAAAAACTGCTGTCTCACTGTGACAAAGGCCACCTAAACACAGTCTTTTACAACTACTTACCCACTGTTCCGGGAAGAATCGGCTACATTATAATTAGAAGTCATTTCAGCACCATTTCCTGCAAAGCACACCCACAATGACTGATTATTCACCTTCCATAAAGGTTTTCGTTTTCCTCCAAGATAAGACTTAAAAATTACACAATCGCTTCTTCTGGCCTCTTCCACTTTCCGATCATGTTGGATGTTTACATTCCTGCTCGGATTCAAGTCGAAGTAGGGAAATAATGCACAGCTGAGGTTTTAATAACACGAGTGACCGGTGCAGTTATGCAACACAGAGAGCCCTTTGTGCAGGATAGTTTGCGATTATGCAACTCAATCTGTTTTTACAAGCTCAGCCTCATAAACACAAGTTGTTTTTTCTTTTAGTTCTCTGTTGTTTTTTCTTTTTTTTGCCTCACATGTGCATTTGTTTCTTTTTGGAAATCGGGGAAAATACCAAAGTCTGCAGAATGAAGAAAAAAAAAAACAACAAACATTAGAAATACCAGCGCGACAACATGCCACAGGTCAAATCTCCGTCTTTATTGTGAGACATACCATCCAGGGAGCCGGGCGTACACGGTCAGCCAGTACAGCATACTTTATAACAATCATTTCCACTTTAAACAGAGTGCAAAGACGAAGCGAAGGAAAAACAAAAAGGAACTCTGGAAAATCCCTCGAGATGAAACTGTTCGGTGGAAACAAAGCACAGAATGCAGATTCTGCTTTTTTTTTTCTTTCCTTCTTTTTAACTAAAACTTTAACATCAATAAATAAGCACTCTTCATTTTCATCAACGCAGCCTTTTTGTTTTAGCATTCTGACTGGATTTGCATTAAATGTGCGGGAAAGGCCATTAGGACTCAAACGTTGCTGTGTAGCTTACATCCAACAGCTTTCTAACCATCAGCAGCATGGATAATCAAAACGGCTTGGACGCTCAGGACATCACTATGAAGTCCCATTTAGTCTGTGTAATTAACAACCTTGGTAGCTTTCAGATTATTACAGTGAGCTTTGACAGAGAAAACCATGACATGAGCTCTTGCATTTCAAGAAGTAGAAAGCAAAACTTTGACTTAGTGAAACTCAAGTAACAGGAGTCATTTTATATATATGAGTGACAATTTTTTAGGAGCTCTGGGATTTGGGAGTAGATTAAATATATTAAAAGGAATAATTCTGCTTTTTTTAAATGAGGTTCTGAGGAGCTAAAATCAGTAATATGTCCATTTCTGGTAGAGGGAAGAGATCACATAGCAGTGAGTTTGTTAAGTTAATAAAATATAAGATTAGTAGAAGGATAATAGTTAGGTAGACGTGTCTCCCATTTTTGCCTTCCGTAGCAACTTAAACTCGAAGTGGTTGCTCACACCGTCATAAAGAAATTTCAAAAGTGGACAGTAGGAGGAAAATATCAACAATTTGCAAGTCATATTTGGTCTGTGATGGGTCTTGTTGAATAAAAAAATCTTAAAAAATGTGGATATTAGGACAGATATGCGTTTCTGACTCAGCCAGTCCCATGTCTGAGGACCTTAGCATAATTTAATTTGGGGGCTCAACTCAATCAAGCCTCTTATATTTGCTTTTTTTTTGGTGAATTTTGCAATTTGCATCTAACACAACTGAGGCAGATTGATATTGTTTAGCAACATTGAAGTCGTTAAGCTGAGAATACATCACAAATTTAACAGCATTTTTAAAAATCTGTAAAAAAAAAAAACATCATTGCATCTTACAGATGTAAACATTTGAAGAGTTAAAGTTGATAATATAAACTGAAGGCGAACCATTAGCCTCCCCATCACTGACGGGACTTATTCTCCTTTCCACAAACTTTCAGTATAAATTTTTCTTTTTCCCAAACAATTACTGACACTAACTTTAAAGAACCTCACTTGGGGAAAAAAAACAACAAAAAAACATAAGCAATCTCTTTCACGCCTCAAGCACTTCCTAAAATTAAGGTAGATAAGTTTGACTTGTAGATCTGATTCATTTCAGTCTGCAGTCAGATTGCTTCGAAGGAGCAGACACATGTCTGTGCCCAGCAGCTCGTGTTTACACTGTATCCTGACACACCCGCTTTTTGAATTTGCATGTCATGGCGAGTAACTTTTTTTGTTTTTCCTTTTTTTAAACAGCCCACAAACAAAACACAAAACTAAATATGCCAATGCACAATGAGGGGTCTGTCTATTACAGCAACAAAATAATCTGTGACTGTTTCTCCAATGGGAGTGACACAAGCAAAACATATGAAAATGCATTAAGTGCTTTAAATTCGATCTGCAACCGCAGTCCACTCACAAATCTTCTCTTCGACCGACATGAACAGATATTAGTAATACGAAACATGTATAAACCTTCATATATCTCGGGTTATAAGTTTGGTACAAGTATGAAAAAACAGCGATAGTTCCCTCCTTAAGCTCAATATGACAAAGATTTTTTGTTTTTGGTGGAGAATCCCCCACCAGAGTGATGCATTCGCTCAAATAGTCGAGGGCACTTTCTTGGCTACAACATCACATCGGAGTTACAGTATAAAATGTCATAGGAAACATACTGTATTTGACTTATAAATTATAAATTTCAATATGTACAAAATTCTTGTGTTTTTCTTAATTTTTTTCTACATATGCACATATTCACAGGATCAGCCAATCAGAAGCTGGGAGTCACTTTTATTTTTAAAAATTTTTTTTTAGAAAGAAACGTATTCCTTAAAGGTGACCGTGAGGCTGTTTGTCGTGATGTCAGTGATGATGATGTTCCCCATAAAAGGGGAGATTTTTTTCGCAGGTTCCTCTGGAGATTTTTCACAGGATTTCTGCGTGTTATCCTTGACAGGAGGTGTGTCTTCAACGGCAGGCTCCGCCTCCACCGGCGGCTGGACTTCTGCCTCCACCCGCCTCCTGTTTTTGGGGCAGCTGAGGTCCATCGGCTCCTCCTGGCTTCCGTTCGCGTCGTACGTCGCGCACGTACTGCTGTGACGCGCCACGCTGCAGTGGAGGTCCATGGGTTTGTCCTGAGGTGGCGTGACCGCAGCCGTCGGCACGCTCAAGCTCCTGGACGCCAGGAGGATTTTACCAACGTTCCTGTCCTCCACCGGATCCGACAGCTTCCTTTTCCGGTCGCAGGGGAACGAGGGGATCCGGATTTGGTTGACGGCCGTAGGCGTCGGGATGGCCGTGTCGGCGGTCCAAGACGTTGGCGGGGAGCTGGCCGTCAGCTGCAGGGGCAAGTCGTCCGGTAAATCCGCCTGGCCGCGGGCCACTTCGGTGTTGTATTCCTCGGCTGTGCTCGGAGATGGTTTGGAAAAATGCCTGTCTTTGGGGGAACACTTCAAGGGATGCTCTGCGACAGACACGGAGCTGCCCTTACAGATCTCTTTGGGAATCCCGTTCTCCGGGTGTTCAGTCATTTTGGCCCCAGGCGGCGGGTTGTTCTCTTGTGTTTTGGAGCTTTGCGTTTTCTCTTCTCTTGACGATTCCCTGTGTTTATCCTTTGCTCCGTGAACCTTGTTGCCGTCCATGTATTTGCTCATGACAATAACAATGCGTCCGTTCTTGTTTTTGTTCTTGATTATCTTCATTTTGCTGCTCACGGAGCTGGGCAGAGTAGCCTCCTTAGGGTTGGGCTTTAGGGCGTTCTCCCTTTGCGCATCTTTAACCGGTTTCCTCACCTCCACCGCCAGCTCTTTGACTTTGCTCAAGCACCCGGTGTCTTTGTTCCGGATCCATTTCTGCTGCAGGGCCAAAGGTAGGTTCCACCCGGGATTCGCAAGCTTGTTGGCTGTCTCCTGAACTTTGACCACCTCCTTCAGCCTCGAAACCTGCGCATCATACATGTATGGGTCGGGCTCGTAATGGTGGTGCTTCTTGCTGTTAAGCTGGTAGATGAACTTCTTTTTGCTGTTGTTCAGAGCGTCGGCAGGGATCTCCTGGCTGTTGGGTTGGTACTGATGGTGCTTTTTGCTGTTCAGCTGGTAATGCTGCGGCTGAGGACGCTGGACAGGATCCAACTTAAAGGTTCCCTCTGCATCCTGGACCGTTTCCTCAAGTCCGGCTGGGATGTTTGACCTCCGGGCAAATGATGGCACCTTAGCGGAAGACAGGAGAGGGTGGTTAATCATTCTACCCATATTCTGACACCCTTATTTGACAGGACCTCTGGAAAAATGTGAACTATAGACACCAAAATTAAAAGAAAATAGTAACAATAGCCTCCTCAAAGTATCTCATCTGTAACATGGGAGAAACTAAAACTGCCAAAGGATGGTGAGGGGGGATGAAAAGGTGATTTCCAATTTCATATATTTTTAATTTTTCCATTTCGTATTTCTCATTTCTGGGTTTCACCATTTATTCCACCCTTTATTTGCTCGGTAACACTTTATTTGAAGGGGGGTGAATAAGACTGACATGATACTGTTATTAACATGACATAACCTGTCATGAACATGAATAAGCCTTCATGAATATTTATGACTGTTGTCATAAAGTGTCATTCGGTAAATTATGACACTTTTAATACAAAGTTGACATTATTCAAAATGTCTGTTATGACAACTTGACGTTAACCAAGAAATCATTACTGATATAAATTTGTTATAAAATAATTACTGATTGCTCTTTAAAAATTAGGTAACTTTATGTTATTAAAGGTAAAGTTTAAACAGTAATGACTTCTTGGTTAATGTCAAGTTGTCATAGCAAAGACATTTTGAATAATGTCAACTTTGTATTAAAAGTGTCATACTTTACCAAATGACACTTTATGACAGCAGTCATAAATATTCATGAAGGCTTATTCATGTTCATGACAGGTGTTATGACCTATTTATGAAAGTGTCATGACAGTCTTATTCAACCCCCTTCAAATAAAGAGTTACCATTTGCTCGAGTCTGTTGAATAATCTCACAATAAAAAAGTGGGTTCTGAAAAGAATAGTGAGGGGATCTAAACAGTCTCTTGGAGTCTACGCAATCCGTCACATGTTTTTTATGCACTTCATACGTTTAGGTTTTACCCTTTAAATCATTCATTTGATGTAATCTGTTGAACAATCCCAGACAGGCAAAATGAAGAGAGGCCTGAAAAGTAGTTTTATCTATTTTTTGTTGTTGTTTGTATTTTCAAATTTTATCATCCATTTTCCCTAATCTGTTGATCCCAAAAACCAATACAACTTGAACCTTTTGATCTGCTGCCACCAGGCAAATGGACCAAACATCAAAAACAGAACCACCTGCTACACAGATTTCTGCCTTAACATATTAAAATAGAGAATTGCTGAAATGATTATGCACTTTGCATCGTTTGACTTAATTTATGGTTTATTTATGATGCGTGTTAATGCCTTTTACAAACTAATCTCTTAAATGATCCCAGATAATCTTCTTTTGTTGTGCACTAGATGCTTTACAATTAAACACCCTCGATATGCAAAAGAACATGATGCAACATTTTCATGGTATGAATGCAATAAAGTCTGTTTTACAGGTGGAGCTGCTTGATTATCCCCATGCAATAAGGTGCAAGAGCAAAACAACCAATCAGGACTCATTTTAAAGCTCTACGCCCCTTTCGACCCCAAACCCCTGGCTGACCCCGCAGCCGTCAGAGGGGCACCACAGTGAAACGATCAGGACGCTCCGAACTGCGACCTCAGGGTCACAAAAGTGCCACCAGACATGTCACGCTCTGCCCCCGATTGCCGGCCACGTGGCACGCCTCTTCGGGAGCAACGCTGCACAGCAATTGGGACGGACTCGAAATATATAATCACGCTTGGCTCTAAAAGCGCTGCAGTAAATGCTTCGGCTAAGAGAGTCAAAGGATTATCCTTTCTTTGTCCCAAAACATGACATAAAAGAAAGAAAGCCTCCTGCAAACACCGTTTGGTGCAAAAAGGAAGATTTATGGTCACTTTGAAAGGTAACAACCAGGCTTTGCTTGGTTGCTTTGCATGAAAATTAATAAGCCCACAGATAAAATGAGTACACTCAAGCAGGATGTTTTGAACCTCAGGCAAGGTTCACAGTTTCAGTTTGAGTGTCAAGATAAATCCACTGTGGAGGGCTCCCTCCCACACTCTCTTCTTCACTTAAAGAAAAGCACGCTGGCAGCAGGTGTGGCACACCTGACTCTGCTCCCATTCTCTTGAACCGCTTACAAAGTGAAACTCGCTGAAGTGGTTTAAGGTGATGAATCATCAAGAAAATACCTGAAGCAGAAGATGTTTTGGTTTCGGCCCCCGCTTTCGGTATCCCATCATCTGCTCCTGCCTCTCTCTGAGAAAAGAAAAGATCATTATGTGAGCATTACCAGACACCTTCAAAATCTAATTACACCTTATGGGAAACGACAGGTTTTCACTCGTTTTCCTCCACCTATTATTCAAGGTCAAAAGTGGAGCCGTGATTCGGAGCAGTAATGAATGTCCAAACGCTGCGAAGCATTTTGATCCCTATTTGCATAGCTCTCCATGGTAATCAGCCCATTCCATATTCTCATTATCCTCAAAAAATTCAATTAGGGGACGTCTTTGAAACGTCCACCCTTCCTCCTCTGACAGTCAGCCATTGAAATCTTCCACATTCTATGCTGCAACCACAAATTTAATGTATTTTATTCCTTTGTTTTTTTGGTTTTTTTTAGATGGACCAAATCAAAACAGCCTGAATGCACCATTCCCACTGCGAAACAAGAGGGTGGCAGCAACATGGTGTGTGTACATCTGTTCTTTAGCAAGGACAAGGAAAATTGAATTAATGAGAAGACAGATAGGGCGAAAAAACACAGGGCGATACTTGGAGAAAAGCTGTTAGAGGCTACAAAATAATAAAAGCGCATCTCTGTTAAGATGGTCCAATCAAAGTCCAAACTGAAATCCAACTGAATCTCCAAATTTGAAAGAGTTGAGATACATTTACAGCAGGAACGCAAAAGAAAATTTGTCCTCAAGATATCCGAAGACAGTAGAGACATACTCCACATACTTCTTACATGAAAATTCCAAATAAAACATGAAGGTTTGCAGTTTTAGTGTGACAAAATATGGTATCACTTAAGGAATACGAATAGTTTTGGATTGTACTGTAAATATGGCAGTGAAAAAAAAAAAAGCACAGAAAGTCTATGGAAAAACCTTTCGAAACCGTTTCCAATGAGAAGGGACTGGGACATGTGTTATTATAACAGAACTGGTCAGATCAAGGACAGCCCCATGTGCGAGAAATCACCCTCTGATATAAGCCTT